GTGTGTGTGTGTGTGTGTGTGTGTGTGTGTGTGTGTGTGTGTGTGTGTGTGTGTGTGTGTGTGTGTGTGTGTGTGTGTGTGTGTGTGTGGAGTCGGCCGGAAAGCTGCTCCGCAGTGGTGGTGAAAGATGGTGTGAGGACAAATCTCTGTTCACAAATCTCAAACATGAAAAGTGTTAAGTGTCGTGACTATGGTTACAATATAAAATCATAATTAATGATAAACAGAATGCCATCAACAGCCCGTTCACTCAAAAATACACAGAATATTTGAACATGCAAACAATGTTTTAAAAAAAAGGTTTAAGTAAGGCGTAAGTGCTTCTGTAATGCACGGCTGGGTTGTTGATGAACAGTGGCATGTGACTCGTGGTCTTGGTCTAGTTGACCACAAGTGCAGCGTCGTCACATTTCCTGATCCAACAGACTCAAGTGAATCAGTTCTCCATTTGTGTCCAGCATTATGAGAACTGTCCTCTCTCTTGTTAAAAAGAATATTTTCACAATGGTATATATTTATGCCCCTGAAGTCTTTCTTTCTGTATGTATGAATATCCAGGAACAAAAAAGAGGCACAATTACAGTAGTTCCCTTTCCCTCAACACAGAGTAAGATGAAGTTTAAGTTTTAAATCAATAAAAAAAACATTAGCTGAAAACTAGATTTCGACACTAAAGCTGATTTCCGGAAGCTAATAACAACCCTCTTTAATTGTGACACAATATAAAATAATCGCCATCAAGGTGTTCTCAATAAATGCTGCCATACAGTGTGTTTGGGTCCCATAAATATGCATCACTTCTCCTTTAGTCCTCTCCAGTTTTTCTGAAACCTCTAAAAGGACCCTTACTTGATTCAGACGCCTTGGTCGGGAGTCAGACCCCCAACCTGAAGTTGCAAAGGCATGTAGTGTTGTGCTGCCAGACACTCATGGAGTGCAGGTAGTTTCTTTAGCCAGTAGGCATGAATCGTGCCAGGGTCTGGTGATGTCCTTCTTCCATATGCTGTTCGAGTATTGCTCCAACTCAAGCCTTGGAATGGATGCTGTTCTCATATTGTTCCGACACAAACCTTGTTAATCTAGATGATGTCCGAGCTGATATAGCTTCAGTTTTGTCTCTCTTGCTCATATCCCAGGAGTAGCATGTGGGACCTAGGCTGGAAAGTGTACTGGATACACATGCCCTGGTGCATTATCTTTGCCGTTCCCAGCACTACGCTCTTCTGGACAGAGATCTCTGATATCACTCCTGGGATCTGCTGGAGCCACTGGCTCAATTTGGGGGTAGCTGCCCTGATGCTGCAGTTATCACACTAGTACTGTTGCCTTCACCCTCCACATCTTCTCAAGCTCCCCCCTCAGCCCTTGATATTTCTCGGGCTTCTAGAGTTCCCTTTTGCTGATGTTGCTTTCACTGGGTATAGCTGGGTGAAAACTTTAGGGGGATTTAGATAAAGGGGAGAGAGTAATTGAAAATGTATTTATTTAGTTATTTATTTATAAGTAAATAAGGTGGAAAAACACTAAACACTCACTCAGATCATGATACATGCCATCCAAAGCCCCCAACACACATCTGCGTCATCCACGCATCTATTCCAGTAGAAGAAGCAGGAAGGGCCCAGATGGGTTTCCCATAGCTAAGGGGTGAGAGTCCCAGAGGACCAGACGTAGTTGACCCCGCTAGAGGCTGGCTGCCCTGGTCCAAGAACAGGGTCAAAGGGCCACAGGTGCCCAAGAACCACCCGGCAGAGTCCCTCCCATCAAGGAGGTCCTAGCCACCCCAAGCAACCAAGGGAGTGGGTCAGTGACCACACCAGAACATCCAGCTCCCCCCCGAAACCAGCAGCAAACTGGGACGGTGCCCCAAAAACTGCCTGTAGCCCCTCATGCCGGGCAGGGTGTGTGAAACAGGTGTAGGGATTCCCCTTTATAAACTCAGAACCTTTGTTATGACTTGTGGCCACCAGAGGCCGCTGTCCTCCCTAGGAGGGAGCTCATACAGGACTAGCTGAAGTAGCATTTTATGAAAGCAGACAGACATAATGTATCACACAAGAAAGTTTTTTTCAGTTTTTACAATGACGACCCAAACTAATAGTAGAACAATGCTTTGGTTGTTGCAAATTAAGAGTTTTAACAAGCAGCAGCACACTGAGTCAACCCTCTGTGGGTCAATAACATCCACAGCAAAGTGAGGATAATTTCATTGCTTTCTTAATGTTCTGCTGTGGATCAAAGTGTCTGATGGACTGATGTTAGCTAACATGCGGCTGGTGTCACGGCTGTTCAGGCAGGACTTAAATGCGGGACTCAGAGCTGTGCATGTAAAGGGAGGTTTATTTACAACAACACCAAGTGAAATACATACACATATGTACATATTTAAGCGCCTTGTTGTGATTTGGTGCTATATAAATAAAATTGAATTGAATTGAATTACAGTGATGAAGGGACACGGGCCCCAGGAAATCTAGGGGAAGGTCCAGGGCAGGGGTCCACGTCCACAGTCCTCTTCACACTGTCTGTGACTCACTCGTACTCAATCCACTCCCACGCTGAAACTCACTGACACTCATCCAAGCAGGGTCCACATGAAACAGGCAGGGATCCTGAGGATCGTTAGGAAAAATCAGGAATCACGATGAGACTCGGAGATTCACAAAGAGAGCTGGGACTACACTAACGAAGGTAAGCACAACAACCCAGCAATGAACAACAGTCTGCCGTGGCTTTAAGTAGTGGCAGAGCAATCATGCAGCAGGTGAATGATGATGAGCAGTCGTGGAGATTGAGGCAGGGACCAGGAGGAGGAAAGAAGAGGGAGAGAGAACATCCAAAACAAACGGAGCTCTAGAGAGGACCGGAGGATCAGGACACCTGGTGTGGTCTTCTGCTGCTGTAGCCCATTTACTTTGTGTTGTGCACTTAGAGCTGCTCTTCTGCACACCTTGATGGTAACAAATGGTTCCTGTTGCCTCACTATTGGCTCAAAGCAGTCTGACCATTCTTTGGCATCAGGAAGGTATTTTCCTCCAGGAAAATACAGCTCACTGGATATCTCAACTTCTTTATACCATTTTCTGTAAACCACAGAGATCATTGTTCTGGAAAATCCAAGCAGAATCAGGCTGTCTGGCATCAACAACCACGACACATTCTATCATCTTTCTTCACCATCGTGATGCTCAGTTTGACCTGAACAGGCACACATAATAAACTGGCTGCTGGATGTATGCAGCGTGACTCTACTGGACTATACAGTTTTGGTGCCATGTTCTCAGACTGTATATATTTTCTTTGTCTGCTTTCTGCTGCATATAGTTTCACGAGTATCATTTTGCTTTTCTCAGTTTAATGATTTAAGTTGTCTAAAGTTTTAAATAACTCCACATTTTTGTCTAAGGAGCTTGGAAAGAAAAGCATCTGGACTGTTTTAAGTTGCTTGAAACTGGCTGAACCTTCACAGACAAACTCCCCACTTTGTTTTTGTGTCTGAACACGTTTTAGTCCACTGTACATTTCTGTGTTGCTCTTTTTAAAGTCAGCCAGGGTTTAATAAAAGTGAAAAAGTGTCTGTGTTTACATGTCATAGCACATTTAAGTTGTGCGTGTCATTTGCCTAAATGCCGCCAAAACACTGGAAAAAAATCTAACATAGACGGTTTGGAAGAATATCGTTTAACGTTTTGAGATCTTTGAAATCTTTAGGGGGGTTGGCGAAATGAGAGAGGAACTGGAAAATAGTGGAATTTCCCTTTAGAATCTCGAAGCCTGTGTTATCGCTCCCCGCCACCAGAGGCCGCTGTCCCCCTCGTTGTGCTCATGCAGCGGCACGCAGCATCAGCCCGGTCAGAGGCAGCAGAGTGTCGGGAACTCCAGCAGCTCCTCTCTATATATTTCCACTGAGGCTCTGTTTTTGGGATTCATTCATCCCCGTCAGAGCTGCTGCTCGGTCCGCCCGGACAGGATCTCCTCTTCCATCCACCCGTCCATCCACCTATCCGTGTTCACCTCCCCCTCTGCCCAGAGGTGCGCAGCGTCCGCATCTGCACCTCAGAAGGTCAGACACATTATTTTCGATCATCGGACCTGTCAACTTTTTTCTTTCTTGTTTTCCTCTCTTTCCCCCCATTTCTGTCCTCTTGATTTCGTCACCGGAGGAATTACTACTGAATTCAGCGGTCACCGGTGAGTCGCCCTGCCGGTGTTTTCTCGTGAGGCGAAATCCCCGCAATATACAGGCGTGGAAGCGATCAGACTTGTGGTCAGGCCAAGAGGTCTGATATATTAGCAGCTGAGGGAATCCTTTTAAGGAAGCTCGTGTTTCCTGAGGTGAGGTTGAGTCTCATGGGGGGAAAGTCTATCCTAAGTGTTGCTGGGATTGCTTTAAATTAACCTTAACCATAGCTTAATGTAATTTAGTCTGTGGTCTTAATGACGTGTTGCAAGTTGGAAAAGTCTTGCAAGTCAGTTATTTAGGAAATTTAAATGGAGCAATGAAAGAGAAAGCCAGAATCCAGTTTTGTAATACAACCAAAAGAGTTCAGTCTTTATGAATATGCAGTTTCGTGTTACTCTGCTGCTTGATCTCCCTTCTCCTTCTCCATTCGCATTCATGGGCAGCCCCGAGTACTGCAGAACAGGCCAAATCTTTATGGGATTTAGGGTCCTGTCGCCCAGCACTGGTGCCTGCCAAACTGGGCAGAAGAAGAGGGGCAAGGAAATGCTGAGTGGCTTTGATATACTGCTTATGTACTGAATTTCAATCAATTCAATCTGGACTGAAGGCCAGATAAGAATAATAATTAATTAATAAATAGTAATAATAATAATGAAAAATAAAATGCATGTACTCATTATATTTAAAACAGAGATAAATGTTGCTATATTGTGTTTATAATAGCTTAAATAACTGTATAATAGTCCTTTTTGTAAACAGAGCTGTGAAGCACTACAGTCTCTGCCTTCTGATGAAGCACTGTAACTGGTGCACTTACTAAAAAACACAAGTACAACCGACATACTCTCAGTTTTTGCTACTTAATATCCCTTGAACTGAACTTCCAAGTAGATTATGATTACATAAACACGTGTTAACCTATAAGAAAAAAATCACCGCAACTAGTTACAATGCACTTTAATGTTAACACTAATTCATAGATAATAGCAACATATCATTAACATATAAATTAGTATGATGTCCAGAATGGGGCCATTCTGCATGGTATCGAGTTCAATGTTAAAGTTGCTCCTAAGGAAATCTCAGAGTACACACTGACTTATTTGTTAACAGGTCAAATGAGGCCAAACTTATTTACTTTAACTTGAATGAAATTTATTAGAAGAGTTGTGAAGAGTTCTGCTTTTATACTGAGCCACTCCTTCTTCTATTTATGTATCAGGATGATGAACGTGTGACAGATACCCGTCACCCCTGGTTGGTGTTCCAGTGTCACCATATGGTAGAAATTTTTGGAATTTTTTTGTATAATATTAAAGCCTGGTCTGGATCGTTACTGAAAATCTAGCGTCTTTTTTCGGCTTTTACTTAACTAAAAATATAATTTAAACGTTTTCTTAGAGTCAGGGCATTGCAGAAGTATTTTCCCCACTAGTTTCCCTCCAGAGGCTGCGCACCATTTCACTGTATATTCTGATGACAGGCCTGCGGTTTGCCGTCTTTCTATAGCCTGTGGTGCAGCAGGTCTCCTCCCTTGGTTTGGAGCACTGAGGTCTGTAATCTCAGTCAACCACAGCACCACCACCCAGATTCATTTCTCAGGGTAAAAATTACAAAAAGGCCAGCTGGGCACACAGTGGAAAAAAATATATACACGTGCCCAGTTTGACAGTCTGGATGAAGTCCCTGCAGAGCAGAGGTCCACGTGTCAAAATAAGCACACTGCTGCATCCTGGACAGAGGGCATCGAGTCCATCAATCATCACTCTTTGTATTTCTATGTTAAAGTTTTTGCCTCTCCTGAAAGTAAACAAGAACAGCTTCACAGAAACACTGACAGCACTGGCTATGTAGCCAATTATGGAAAAGTTTATTAAGACCATTCTGATGAGGATCACAGGATTTGCTTTCTAATCTTGTAGTCATTTCTAATCACATGCTGTAGTTAGTGCTGACTGTGTTTAACCTTTGCCGTACACAGCGAGTTTGTCTTTCGCCTCTTTTATGTTGATTTGTTAAGAATGTTCTAATTAACGTTGAAACTCAATTTAAAGGAATGTTGTAGAAAATACAGAAATTCACTTATTTAGTCTCCTGATGGGAGTTAGCTGAGATCGCTCATTTGTACCTATGAAGTCTGGACACCCTTAGCTTAGCTTAGCTTAAAAACAGTCTGGTGCTGTGAATTCCTAAAGCATTGCCGTTACCATGTGTTGCTCAAAAACTGTCTGAGAATGAAGTCATCCCACCCAGCCAAAAAAAGCAAAGAAAAAAGACCCTTTTCTGTAATAAACTAGATGTATAAAATGGACGTAGTTCCTGTGATGCGTCAACGGTAGCATTTTGGCTAGTTAAGACTGGTAGTGTTGCTAGTTAAGACCAGCGGTCCCCAACCTCTTTTGCACCACGGGTCAGTTTAATGTTAGACAATATTTTCACAGACCGGTCTTTAAGGTGTTACAGAGCCCCGCAGGGGACATGGGAGAAAAAAAAAATGAAGACGGACTTTTGCAAGATCTCGCAAAACAAACTCGGGATCTCGCAAAAGTTTTAGCCGCATTCTTCGGAGGCCGCCAGCTCGAAGCCGACCGGGAGATCGAGGCCCGATGTGCCGGGAAAGCGGTGTTCCTCCCAGCTGTAGTAGGTCTCGACCTCCCGTTAGCTTCGAGATGGTGGGTGTCAGATCTCCGAAAACGTTGGAGCACTTTTGCAAATTTGTGATGTCTTGTAAGCCGAGCAGGTATCTGACGTTTACACAACTACATTCACACCTCAAAATATCTTAAAAGTGTATTTTGTGACCAAGAAAGAGTAATATTACAACTAAGTAGCTGCCGCCATTGTTGGAATGTTGCGAGATCTCGCAAAACTTTTGCGAGATCCCGAGTTTGTTTTGCGAGATCTCGCAAAAAGTCTGTCTTAATTTTTTTTTCTTTCATGTCCCCTGCGGGGCTCCGTAAGGTGTCGCAGATAAATACAACAAAATAAAATGATACGACCAAGACAAAAACTGTGGTATTTTGTAAATATAATAATAGACACGAATTCACTGTGTAATTGTGTAACTATTAGCAGTGTCCTCCTAAAATCCGGGAAAAGACCCAGGGAAACCGAGTTAACGATATATACCCTGAAAATCATAAATTTCGCACCCGAGCCTCAACTCTTGCGGGCTGGTACCAAACCACTCACGGACCCGCCTGATGGGTTGGGGACTGCTGGTTAAGACTAGCAACACCAGCAGAAATGCATTCATAAGCCGTATATATGCGACAAACAGACACGCATGTCTGCTAACAGTACAGAACTTTATCGCTCAAGTATGTGTACACACACAATTGGGCTCAGGTTACTTCTTTGCTCTCAATGTACACTGCACAATAGGCAACAGACAATACAGACAATAGCAACATGGCACAAATAATAACACACTGGAAGCCTGGCAGATATAATGAACTGCCGGGGACATTTCTGCCCAGCCAGGTTTGGGTAGCACAGGGTGGCTGATCTGGAAATCTGTGTACGACTGTGGTCAAGAATTCCAGATGGTGGAGGGAAGGCCTGGCAGGCGTTCACTGGCTGTAGCTGCCTGTCAGTCAAAGTAAACACATCCGTAACTCTTGTATTCAGATGGATGAATTTCTCACAGAGGGCAAATACCTTAAGGAACTGAATTTTTGGCACTTCTAGTTGAACCAAAGATCATTTTTATTAACTTTAGAAAAAGTTGGGCCAACAGTTTTCACTAGTCTTTACAGCATGCTAGTTAAGCTAGACTACAGTCACGGTAAAGACTCACTTGTTGAAGTAAATTCGGAGATCTTTCTTTCCCTCTTCTTTTTTTCCCCCCATCTCCAGATTCAAGCAGTGATTTGTTATCCAACAACAGTATCAGACTTCAGCTAGCCAGGTTTTTATCGTTTTTTTTTTTTAAAAAGAGCAGAAGAAAAAGAGGAGGCTCCATGTTTACAAGAGACAACATGCAAATGCACCTTTGTTAGCACTGGACGAGTGCAGTGCTAAGGTCAGCCAAGCTAGTCACAGCTTGTCTTATCTCTGTACCGCATGCAGGTGAGATGAAGTTGATAGTGATTACCACGTTTGACACATAAAGGTGGCAAACACACAGGCCGTGGTCTTTCAGAATGTGAGAAAAATTGCTCTTTAAAATGCATCCCTGCTTTACTTGTAGTGCTTATCCTGGCTCATAGTTGTTGTTTTTTTTCCTTTCTCTGGCTGATCCTATGTTTCTTTGACCTTGGATCCATGCTGAAACAACATATCATTTGTTTTTGTCTTGGCAGCCACTGGAATTTGTTCTCTGTCAAAAAAAAGCTCTACATGCGTTGAGTAAAATAGAGAGACACCTCAGCCTCACTAAAGCAGATCATCCTGTGACTTCATTGCATGACTGAGGTGTGTGCGCGTGTGCGTGTGTACATACATGTATGTGTTTGGATGAAGGATGGAGCAGGTGTGGAGGCCATAAAAGGCAAAACAGGAAGACGAATGGCCGAGTCGATAGGGAGACACGTCTCTGTGCTTCTCTTCTTCCTCTCAGTGGTGATTCCCTGCTGCTGCGTGGGAGAGCAAGGGATCACTGCAGCTCTGTGTGTGTGTGTGTGTGTGTGTGTGTGTGTGTGTGTGTGCGTGTGTGTGGTTACAGCAATGTGTGCGAGATGGGAAACAGAGGGAGAGCAAACACGAGCGTAAAAGTGAGAAACAAGGCAGAAAAAAAAGTGCTGTAACAGCCATACATATTCCCTTCATGTCCTGTTTACATTCGACTGAAGACTTTTCCTTTAGCATCTACTGTCAGTGTAAACACTGTGCGTGGAGCTAAAAGAGAAGCTTTTATCTCCCTTTAGAGCACTGTTGTTATGGACGTTACTAATTCTTATAGCTAGCATTTGATGGAGTGAATAAGCATTTTAGAAGACAGAGGGTGTGTTTTACAGAAGTAGCAGCAGGTCTGGTGCACAGCTAACTCCAGTATCAGTAGATACTC